AACACGGTGCTCTTTGAACTCCCCAATGTCACGGTGAAAAGATGCACACAGCTGAACCCCTCCTCACTGCTGCCCACGCCAGAGGAAGGGGAGGAACACTGCTGTATCGCCACAATAGAACAGATATGCACTCCCAGGCCAGACCTGAAAGAGGTACCTCTGACTAATCCTGACTTGATTTTTTATATACAGATGAAGCAGCATCACGTGACAACACTGGGAAGAACCGAGTCGGCTATGCTGTGTGTTCTGATTTTGATACTATAGACTCTGGTAGTTTGCCCCACTACCATTCAGCACAAACCGCTGAACTGGTCGCGCTCACCAGGGCTTGTGAGCTGGCAGCGGGCAAAACTGTTAACATACTCTGTGATACGCGCTATGGTTTCTCTGTGGTGCACGACTGGGGGGCACTGTGGAAACACCGCAATTTCATGAAATCTGATGGTAAACCAATTCTTAATTCCACACAGGTTGAACGTCTGCTGAAAGCTGTAATGTTGCCCTTAGAGATCGCTGTATGCAAATGCCAGGCCCACACTAATGCCACTGACCCCATCTCGGCAGGGAATCGGCGCGCGGACAAGGCAGCGAAGGCAGCGGCATACGCACCTCTACTCACACACACACACTACCTCACTCAAGACGTTGATATTTTCTCCTCTCTGTCAGCAATGCAGGCGCTGGCTACTCCAGCAGAGACTGTGCCGTGGGAGGGAAATGGGGCTCAACGACGGCATGGTGTGTGGCTGGGACCAGACCTAAAACCGTGCTTACCACGGCATTTCTTCAGACATTTTGCGATTTTAGCACATGGTCGAGACCATGCCTCAGAAGGAGGGATGTGTAATTTAATTACACAAAATTGGTATACGAAGGGGTTTACGGCATTTGCACAGAGATTCTGCCAAACATGCGCTATCTGCCTCGCGCACAACCCAGGTAAGTCCCAAATTATCCAACAGGCTGCCCATCCTCCGCCCCTGCGCCCATTTCAACATGTCCAAAGGGACTTTGTTGAACTCACACCATGCCAAGGTAAGAAATACTGTCTGGTGGATCTCTGGCCCAAATGGACTGAAGTATTTGCATGTAAACACGCCACGAGCAACGCGGTGGTGAAAGCTCTGCTCACAGAAATTGTGCCACGATGGGGTGTCCCGAGAGAAAATCTCTAGTGACAATGGCAGTCACTTTGTAGCAAAAGTCATTGAGGAAGTAGGTGAATTTCTGGGCATTGATATACGTAAACACTGCAGTTACGCCCCCTGGAGCGGAGGCGCGTGCGAGCGAGAGAATGACGCTCTGAAAAACAAACTTGTTAAATCTGCGAACAGACAGACCTGTCTTGGATCAAAGCTCTGCCGCTAGCCCTCATGTACATGCGCATGAGAGTCAGGTCAGGGTCAAACCTAAGCCCATTCGAAATCCTCTTTTGCCAGACCACCCAACTTGGGCGCGGGACCCCCGAACAGAGATCTGCCAAGCACCTCTTTGTGTGATGACGACATGCTGTCCTATTGTAAGGAAATTAATGCACTTTTGCCCTCTATTTCTGCCCAGGTCAGGAGCGCCCTGCCACAGGCTGCGCAGGCGGCTCCGCACAAGATCAAGCCAGGCGACTGAGTCCTGGTGAAGGAAACGAGACGACAACATTGGCGGTCCAAGCGCTGGCTGGGCCCATCCCTCGTCCTCCTGGTGACGGACACTGCCGTTAAGGTCGCGGAGAGGACAACTAGGATCCACGCCAACCACTGTCGTGCGGTGCTGCCACTGAGGGCCATAGACGAGGACACCGAGGGCACGGACGGACCAGGCCCATCCGCGGCTCCCTACGCTGAAGAGGTCGGCCGGCGTGCGGCCACCGTCGGTGAAGCAGGCCAACAACAACACCCAGAGAATCCCAGCGTTCCCGAGGCGACCCCCTTTGCCCAACTCCCCAGCCCCCGGACCCCAAGGCCACACCCCAAACCCCGAGCACTCTGCCCAACCGAGTGCTGAGGCCAAGGCTTCAACGCGATTAGAGTCTTGCCGCTCCAAGACCAAACATCGCCATGACCACTAACGCTCCACACACGCTCATAGGGAGCGGTGCCACTGACTGCAAGACGGCACTGTTCGTGAGTATTCCCGCGGAAAAGACTACCGAACGTAGCCCGGCTAAGACCGGCTGGTCCTGGACCACCTGACCGCGTCTGTGGGAGGCGTATGCACGATCATTGGGTCGTCCTGCTGTACATATATTCCGGCTAATGATGAGGACGGAGGTCTTATCCAACAGGGCATAGCCAATCTGACTAGACTCCGGGACGCCATGCAAGCGGACAATGTCACGGACACTCCTCACGGTCTGGACTGGCTCCTGTCCTCCTGGCGGAGTGTGCTCATTAATCTTGGTTTAGCCCTATTGACTGTTATGATTTTATTTTCATGTGTATTACCTTTGGTGTTTCGGGCCGTTGGTAAAATGATATCCACTCACTTTGTGTCCATTCAATACAAAGACCCCGAGGCGGACCTGGCCGCTGTCCCACTGAACTCCGATCCTGATTATATCAGCGATTCGGACGATGACTTTGTCTAACGTTTTTCTTTCTTGTTTACCTTGTTTTTATTTTTCCACTTGTTTCGCCTACAGTTTAGGGGGAGGGTATCACAGTGAAGAGCTTTGACCACACCCTCGTAATACAAGAGGCTTGGGTGACGGCAGCCTAGCCTGCCCATCAACAACTCTTGTTTTGCTCAGGGGTCAAGGTCAATACTCACCCACCTGAATGTGATCTCTGTAAAACTGGAGTTTCTACATTATCACGGGAGAGGAGTGTGATGGCAATCTGCCTGTGACCCGGGGACGCCAACTCACTCCCCCCTGCTGCTCTATCCAGCTAACCTGCAGGAAGGAGCCAGTCCTTCCCGCACCGCCAGACAATGATGCAAATCACTGTCTCACCCCTGTCCCTTTCGCATCTTGCATCTGTATGCCTGCCTCTCTACATCCTGCATGACCATTGTCTGTCTGTTTGCACCTCCATGCCACTGTCTGATTGCCTCACCACGGGCATGGCGCCTACGCTCCCTATGCGCCTCCTGTACTGGTGGCCCCCTCCCATCTGTTGTGGGCGTGACTGTCTTTATGTGTTGTCTATGTAAACAGGAACCTGAGCTCTGCGCGCCAGAGCTGGTGTATGCTGCCTTTTGTATATGTTAGCTCTCCGCACGTGTGTACAATAAACTTACGCTCCTGAATTAAGACAAAGACCTTTGAGCTTTCTCCTTCATTGGGGTATGTAATTCTACAACAGTGATAATAATGTGTATGATACACCACACAACAATCAAAGCTTGTGAGATTAGAGCCATCTCTTGTATAGAGGTGACGTCACCTCGACTCAAACGAGCTGATCCAGAGAAGAGTCTGCTCCTCTGCCTGTGAGCCCGCCTCCCCCCGCCCGCACGGTGACGTAGCATCACGCTTTTGTCGTTTATCACCTGTACTTAGTAATTTCATACATAAGAATACACTTTTTCCAACAATGACAATCCGTCACATCGAGCCCTATGTCCTCGATGCACAATCAGACCCTAGTTATTTAGTTTACAGAAGTATACAGCGAGTTAGCGTCACTACTTACAGATCGAGGGGGTCCGAGTTACGTCTTTTACCGTGGGAATAACGTGTTTCCAGATCAGCTTTTGAGTAAGTCCAGTTCCATTGTCACTGTAGTTCTGGAACAGTCTCAGTGAAGTGTCGCAGATGAACCGGTATTATAATAGATCCATGAGATGAACAGATGAAAAAAGTCGAGCCGCTTTCTTCCTCTTAGGGCCAAATAGTGTGTCACATATTTACACCCATAACACACTTCATTCAAGTTGACGTGATCCTAACACTTTTAGTTGCTGACAAAAGCATAAAAACAGCAGCTCTATGTGGTGTCCGCGAGACCAGACCACAGACGCTGGACTCGGGAGCCGGAGCCTGTGCGCTCTGATTCGCTGTTTTGATCCGTCAATCACCTCCCGCCGGCTTTTAATTTATTTTTATTTTTATTATTTTTGACAAAAAACAGCATACTAATTGTGTATTGTTTACCTCGTTTTGACAAAAGTATTTAACAACTATTTTAAATACAAAGCAAACGGGGTCATGCGCGTCATCAGTGTGGTTTTTGTCACTGAAGTGGACCCGAGCGTTTCTGTGCCTCACGCTGGGGAAGGAGACAGATTGCTCTCTTACAAAAGAGTGACAGAATCAATGAATAAACTACTGTGGGCTTGTGTATGAAGGCCAAATAGCATTGTAATCATGTTTAAAGCAGAGAAAAGTCAAAAACCGTGATATGGGCCCTTTGATGTCTAGAAAAAATCTGAGACTGACACTTTGGAAGTGAGATAGCTCCGCCCCCTGGTGAGCAGGTGGAAAACTGTGTGTTGCAAAAGCTCAACTAAGTTCAGCAGTGGACTCAGACTTACTTCTGAGTGAGAAAGGGTCAACAATTTGGACCTGGAGTAAATAGCTAAAAAGATATGAAGAGAAGGTTAACCAGAAGGAAAGCAGAAAGAAAAGCTGCTTCAACTGGATACAACGCACTTATTAGAAGAGAAGAAATATTGTGGAATAAACAAATAGAACAATGAAGCACGAGTTCACTTTGGAAATATCTAAGCTCTTGTTTGGTGTTATCTCTGCAGCACTTTTTTTCTAAAAAGATTCCTGCGCAGATCCAAATTCTATCTAGCCATAACACACCATTACCAACCATTCCTTGAGCGAAAGGGAAAAGGACGGTCTTCTAATCGGCTAATCTCCAGACTAAGTGGCCTGCAATTATACCTCATTATTGCATAAACGTGTTATTAAGGCGGCGGTGCGGTTTGACCCTGCATGTGAACCCATCAGTCCAAGACCATAGAGCTGCATTTTCTCACTCTTCAAGACCACTGTTGTGATTTTTCACTGTAGTTGACATTGATATATTTTTCCCTGGTGTGGGTTGTACCGTTTGGGGTGGTAGAGGTGCTTGTGGGGCTCCTCCAGGTCCCAGCGCTGGCACTCCTTCCCCGTCTCTGTGTGGTCCATGGGTCCTCTGTAGTCCTCCCCATTACACAGCATACACTCCACTATAAACAAAATACATATAAAAAACATGTGTATACAGTATAATGCTTATTTCACTTATGGAAGGAGATGAGACTGTGGGAGGCGTGTCAGTCTGCAGCTTCAGTCCTGGACTCAGATAAAAATCACTCCAGATAGAACTAATGCATCTAGAAATACTGGATTTACTCTAGCATGTAATCGCTCAAGCTGATTGATTTCTGAAAGACATATCACTCACTCCGCAAATTCGATGCCATTGATCAGATCTGGACCAATGTCGACCATTGTCCTATGTGAGCCTCTAAAGGGGTTTTTTACTTCTCAAAGTGAGTCATCTTAAGCCATACTTAAGAGAGGGACAAGGACAGGCTTGGTTTGCTTAATATTCACCTTCAATTTGATGTGTAGAGAAAACGATTGAAAATGAGTGCTTTGATAGTCTGCAGAAAAGGCAATACAGTTGTCGTTTTCAGCTCGTCTGTGCAGAGGTCACAGGGGGAGGCTGTTTGTTTGTTTGTTTGTTGTTTGTTTGTTGCTGATGGGATGGCGTTTCTCTCGCCGTTTGTTGTTACCAGTGTTTCCTCATGTTGTGTTCATGTCATTGTCCATATGCTGTTGCTTGAAAGTTTCTGTGTTTGAGCAAAGTTGCAGATGAGAATTTTGTGGAGTTACTGATTATATGTTAAGAGATGTAAAGCACATCGCTGCTGCCTACAGTCAGACCTCACATCATCTACGTCCTGCGAAGAAGAGGGGTTCAGCCCAGCTCTATCAATGTGAATACAAAATGTCCTGGGGCCCCTCACTAAAACGTGTAAAACCAGGCTCACAAAAACAAAAAACCCTGTTACCATTGCTCCACAGGCGTGAAGACACCAAGACAAGAACCGAAACATTTATATAATAAAAATGTGTTTTCTCCACATGTGTTAGAACGATCTGAAACAGGAGATTTAATAACAGTCATTCGGATTGTGAACATGGCTCTTTTACAGTTTGAACTAGGATCACAAAAGGCCTTTCTGTGCAAAGACAAACAACCCAACATTACAATTACAAAAGCTTGTAATGATTGTAATGAGCTTGTTTGGCTCATTGTTTAAGCCAGGGAACATTTTGCAATAAAAAATCTCTTGTAAATACTTAGCTGTAGGTCAGACAGCATAATGCCAAAACATAACATATGGAATGACATGTATTGTGTGAAGCTAACGAAGCCCCGTAGCATCTCTGTTCTGCAAAGTGTGCGATTAGGTAGTAGTGCGAGCGCTAGAGTAAACAAGGCCGGCCGCAGATGAGAAGCAGATGTTTGGGAGTTTGTTGCTGTCATGATAGAGCCGTGAGTGTGCTGCATGGTTTCTATTAGAAGCAACTACATTTCACCAAATAGTTCCAGTGATTTTCTTCTCTCATAGACATAAAAGTGTTTGTCGACTGTGGACAATGATGTGTCATGAGCCGGTGTTTTTATCAAACAGTTTGTTATTGAAGAGAAATTGAGTCACATCGGCTGCATATGGAAACACAGCACCCACGGATCCATTGCATGAGATTGAGGTTTTAAAACAATTTTGGGACATGGGACTTATAAAAACAATATTATGCATCATTTGATTTAATGTCAGCCTTTTGTTGATAAAATAGTCTTGTGCAGGGAATGAGTCATTCCCTGCAGCTGAAGCTTTGTGCTGCAGTGAACTATAAACAGCTGCTAACTCCTCATAAACAAGGCCCGACCAATAGTGATTTAATTCATGTTTTGGTACTTATGTAACTCTAGTGTATTCATATTCTTATCTGAATTTAGAGTGACGTTTAAAGGGTATGGTACAGATCAATGGGCATACTTAAAAGAGATATTTTTGCAAATTTGTTAAACTTTTACAACATTGTTCCTCATCAGCCTAAGACCTGGAGTTGATTTTGCTCCCTAAACATTAATATCAGCAACTTCTGGCATATTACATTCTTTACATCTGTGTGAGTTTGAATTGGATCAAACACGGTCCAATGTTGAATGAGAAAAGTCATATCAAATCATGTCATGCTCCACTTCTGACTCTAGATGAGAGTTTGGCTCATGACCTTGGTCCATGAAACATATATTTCATAAGATAAGAAGATAAGAATTCTTTTATTCGTCCCACAGTGGGGAAATGTCAAAATTTCTGTATTTCAAAATTTCTGAATTTCGACATTTCTGTATATTTTCCATCAAAAATGTGACTTGCTAACAGTTTTACGGACGTAGGTTAATGGGCCAGTCTCACTTTATGCATCAAAAATCGGCTCCACCAGTGAACAGCCAGATCAAAGCCACAATTAACTTAACCATACTGTATTACTGATGATTGGTGGTTTAAAGTTGGACCAAAGATCTACCAATCTACCACTTTTCAAAACTGCAAAAAATTTAGCAATGAAATAAAATCCATATATCAACAAGTTTTTTCAGACACACAAGTGACCACCCTCACTCTATCAGCTCTCTGTCCTAGGCATCAAAAAGCTACCTTTTTTGGATAACGATTTCTAATTTTAATTTTTTTCTGTTGGAACCATGGATCTATTGTAATAACTGGATAGGATATTACTAGCTTTGAGCTGAAGGACCCATGTGCTCGGGGGATTCTCGCGGTACTGCAGAATAAACAAGACTAAATTCACGCGGGCTACCCAGAAATTTTCCCCATAGAACTCAATGTAAACTAAAACAGCTTAAGCATCTACAGCTTTCAGAAAGGTCTGATTTTGTGGGAATTTTAGTGTCCCTTGTCATCCTGAACTTTTTTTCTTCTTAAATCCCTTAGTTTTCTTTCAATCCACCCTCTAGCTCCGCTCTGATGAGCAGCCTGATTGGTCAAACCGCGGCCGAGCCCCTCTGTGCACGTGCATGAGATCAACACACGCGTTTTTGGCGCAACGCATCATGGGACTCGTCCACTGCGCAGAACCGGGAGGACCAGACGATATCACTCACCAAATATAGTGAGTGATATGGCGACCGTGCCGGCACATGCGCCACTGAGCCCAAACCATTCATTTGAATACAACGCTCTCTTAGATTGCTGGGGCTTGGTTGGAACAAACAGCATGTCGGAATTATGGAAAGAAGTTTGGTACCTGAAGCTTTATTAACCTTGGTGAGAGGCCTGTGAACTGCACCTCTAAATCAGGACGTCTTTTGATTTTCATCTCAACTAGAAAACTGTAGATAGAGAGATACTTTATTCATCCTTGTAGGAGAAATCCAGGTGTCCTGTAGCAGCATAAATAGATCCATCCATACAAACAAATAAATACATAATTCTAAACGTAGCTAACAATAGTATTAAAATGCAACGCTTTAGGTCACAGCAGCAGAGATGGTGAAGCCGCTTGGTTTGGACTATTTTCACTGCCCTAGTCCAAAGTGAAATGCTGAATGCAGTACAAAGCCCTGTTCCTCTGCATCTATCCAGACCAGTCTTTATGACACAACATGACGAGTTAACCAATTCTACTGGCATTATCTTAGCGATCTATATCCTCACTTTAACTCCAGTAAAGCAGCAGGACATTGCTCCACCCCCACATTCCAGCATGACCCTCTTTAGAGCCTTTTAAACACTAATAGTGATGAAACGGGGGGCAGACAGGGTATAAACCAAGGCCCACACATGGAAGGCGCTACGGCTGGCCCCAGGACATATACTGTACCAAAACAACCTTAGAGTTGCTGCTTACAAGAAAACTTGTAGTCACAGTTCTTACAAAATTAATCTATTGATCAATGTGCCTAATGAAGTAAGAGTTCAGTGGAATTGTTATCACTGTTATAAAGATTACAAGAAATTGCAAATAACAAATTTGGGGGTAATAAAAACACTTTATCATAGCGTAACAAGTTTCAGATAAGTAGTATTTACGCAGAAGGGACAATTTGGGCTGGAAGTTAGCGTGGATGGAGCCAAAGGCAACTCCAGGTCTGGTTTTGATGAGGTGTTACATACTATATTCAATTCAATTCAATGCATTCGTGTTTAGCCCCCTATCACAAAAGTAGTTATCTCGGAAGGCCTTTACAAAACTGTTGAATTCGCCAAAACAGATGAGAGAATCAAACAGTTCAAACACAAGAAATGCAATGATGAAAAAAACACATCTAGCCATTGGTTCATAATAAGGAGCAAATGACCAATGTCCTAAACGTAGGACGTCTACATATGTTGTTCACTATACCACGATATCGATCTAAAATTGCTTAATAAACAGCAGGCATGTGTGTCTAGCAGATTGCAATCAGTACTTGAATTGAACTAAGGAGCTAATGGAAAGCTCGTAAGATGAACCAGAAGTCATTCAAACTGGTTTAGTGATAAAGATCATATCACCCCAGCCTGATTAGCAAAGGCATTCACCCAAGAATAACATTTTTTCAACCCTTTTACGAAGCATTTCCTTCCTTAAAGCTGTTTCTTTTCCCTAAAATGAGACATATTGTTTGTTCCAACAGAAATAGTCGTGCAAAAGTTAAATCAAATGTTAAATCAATGTTATCTATTGTTAAACTTGTGAGAAAGAGTCCTGTGAGTACCTATTTGACGCTTTGGGATGAGAGCTGATTGGCCGAATGAGGGTGGTCCTCTTTTCACTTTTTCTCTCTGAAAAAAGCTGATCTGAAGATGTGACAGAGGCCAAAAATAAATATATCTGAATACTAGTGATAGAAGGGAACTGTTTTGAAAAGCAAGGAAGTTTGGTGGATTTCATTCAATAGTAAATCATTAAATACTGTATCTACCAGCTTTAAAGGTGCAGTAAGCAATTTTGTTAGCTTAGCCGTAGCACCAACTCAAAATCACTCCCCCCTCCCCTCGCCTCTCCACCAAACCAAACATCCAGCATTTTCTTTTCTTTGTCACAACAGGGAGAGTGAGTGGCAAACGTGAAATTGATATTTTCTGTTCAGCCCTTTTAGGTTTTAGAAAACCCGATAACTCAGGTGCGCACACTTGCGAGAAACAGGAAGAGGGTGAAGGGGGTGAACGCATCCCATTGGTTCGTTGGGGGTGAACGCATTCCATTGGTTCGTTGGGGATGAACGAATCCCATTGATATATTTTTATTGGTTCGCTCCTGAATACGTTTTATTATTTTTTGGAGCCTATAGGCATCTGGTCAATTCCATTACTATTTGAAAACACATGATATCTTGACTACTTTTAAGGTTTAGAGACTTTTTCCCACAATTTAAAAAAAGTTTGTCTTGAAAAAAACCCTGGTACCTCAGTTTTTTCTTAATATTTTGGATCCTGTGTGTGTGTGTGTGTGTGTGTGTGTGTGTGTGTGTGTGTGTGTGTGTGTGTGTGTGTGTGTGTGTGTGTGTGTGTGTGTGTGTGTGTGTGTGTGTGTGTGTGTGTGTGTGTGTGTGTGTGTGTGTGTGTGTGTGTGTGTGCGTGCGCGTGCGCGTGCGCGTGTGCGTGCGTGCGAGACTAACCCTGGGAGCACTGGGGGATGCCACAATGCTGATGCCTCATATGGGGGTCCATGGAGAAGCACCAAGGGCCCATGGTGGAGTTGTTTGGGTTCCTGCAGTAGTTCTGGGTCAGGCCTTTCTTCGGAAACCTTTCCGACATGCTGGGAAAAGCACAATGACGTACTGATTAAAATAAACAATTGAATGAGAAAAAAACAATAATTTAAAGATTGTCCACATGAAAATCAATATGATGCATTGTTTAAGATTATTTTAACCCTCAAAAATGATATTGAGAATATTTATGTTTTAAAATGTAACAATTGAAAGCATGTGTACCTAATTAACTCCCCATACATGATATATGTTGTGTGTCCCAATTAAATGCCTTGTAAAATTAATATCCCTGAAGACTTGTTAACTCATTCTTAACTCATTCTCAGTCAAAAGTTGTTAAACCCAACTTTTGACTGGTTTTAATAGTCGTGTTCCAACAGCATTTGCAATATTTTTGTGAATAAACAATATCCATCGACTTTATTTACCAAACTATTACTTAGACTGGATTAGTTTTAACCCATAATGAGGGATTAAGGATTTAAGTAATAGACCGTACCATCCAGGTATACAGTGCCTTGCGAAAGTATTCGGCCCCCTTGAACCTTTCAACATTTCGCCCTATTTCAGGCTTCAAACATAAAGATATAAAAAAATGATTTTTTGTCATGAATCAACAACAAGTGGGACACAATCGTGAAGTGGAACTAAATTTATTGGATAATTTAAACTTTTTTAACAAATAAAAAACTGAAAAGTGGGACGTGCAATATTATTCGGCCCCTTTACATTCAGTGCAGCAAACTCACTCCAGAAGTTCAGTGAGGATCTTTGAATGATCCAATATTGTCCTAAATGACTGATGATGATAAATAGAATGCACCTGTGTGTAATCAAGTCTCCGTATAAATGCACCTGATCTTTGATAGTCTCGGGGTTCTGTTTAAAGCATAGAAGATGGAAGAGTGGCAAGAAGAAAGCCATTTCTCAAAGATATCCATTAAAAAGTCTCGTTTAAAGTTTGCCACAAGCCACCTGGGAGACACACCAAACATGTGGAAGAAGGTGCTCTGGTCAGATGAAACCAAAATCAAACTTTTTGGCCACAATGCAAAACGATATGTTTGGCGTAAAAGCAACACAGCTCATCACCCTGAACACACCATCCCCACCTCAGCTGTAGTTATCTGCAGTTCATCCAGAGTGATCATGGGCCTCTTGGCTGCATCTCTGATCAGTCTTCTCCTTGTTTGAGATGAAAGTTTGGAGGGACGGCCGGGTCTTGGTAGATTTGCAGTGGTCTGATACTCCTTCCATTTCAATATAAATGCTTGCACAGTGCTCCTTGAGATGTTTAAAGCTTGGGAAATCTTTTTGTATCCAAATCCGGTGTAACGCCGAGATACACTTCCTTGAAGAGATGCACTTCCCCAGCTGTTTATGATGTAATGCAAACCTGCGCATGCGCGTCTCACGGCAACCCAAGCATACCAAGATGGCGGACCGTGAATTGCTTTAAAAGTTGAAATACGAACGAATTAAGACACGAATGTCACTTTTAATGCAATTTGAGGCGAGATGTTGATGGTTCCGTTTTGTCACATGTGGGTTTTAAGAGTCAAAGTTTCGTGCAAAGTTTAGTTTAAGCAGTCAACTGCGCCTGTGAAACCACAAAGCTAATGTTTTCATAGCAGTCCGCGGCTGCTGACGTAGGCTGATGACGCGTCCTGTGGCAACTCTACACTCTTACACTGGTCTGTCGGGTTGATAATGGAAAATGGGGAAAAAAATCAATCTAATTAAATATTTTGTTTGAACACACTATTGTTAATCATATTAAATACAGTACGATACATGTATTGAATGAAATTTATTATTTCCATTATCAACCCGACAGACCAGTGTAGAGTGGCCACAGGACGCGTCATCAGCCTACGTCAGCAGCCGCGGACTGCTATGAAAACATTAGCTTTGTGGTTTCACAGGCGCAGTTGACTGCTTAAACTAAACTTTGCACGAAACTTTGACTCTTAAAACCCACATGTGACAAAACGGAACCATCAACATCTCGCCTCAAATTGCATTAAAAGTGACATTCGTGTCTTAATTCGTTCGTATTTCAACTTTTAAAGCAATTCACGGTCCGCCATCTTGGTATGCTTCGGTTGCCGTGAGACGCGCATGCGCAGTTTTGCATTACATCATAAACAGCTGGGGAAGTGCATCTCTTCAAGGAAGTGTATCTCGGCGTTACACCGGCTTTAAACTTCTCCACAACAGTATCTCGGACCTGCGTGGTGTGTTCCTTTGTCTTCATGGTTCTCTCTGCGCTTTAAACAGAACCTTGAAACTATCAAAGAGCAGGTGCATTTAGGACAACATTGGATCATTCAAAGATCCTCACTGAACTTCTGGAGTGAGTTTGCTGCACTGAAAGTAAAGGGGCCGAATAATATTGCACGCCCCACTATTCAGTTTTTTATTTGTTAAAAAAGTTTAAATTATCCAATAAATTTAGTTCCACTTCACGATTGTGTCCCACTTGTTGTTGATTCATGACAAAAAATTAAAATGTTATATCTTTATGTTTGAAGCCTGAAATGTGACGAAATGTTGAAAGGGTCAAGGGGGCCGAATACTTTCGCAAGGCACTGTACATGTAAAGGAGAATGAAAACCAGCCTCAACCAGGACTAAATCTTTAAACAATAGACAATACAAGTATTTTTGTATTTGGAGAATAGCGGATTGGGGCATAATTTTTGGCGGGTCTGAATTGGCCACTGTGCTGCAAGTTGCATAGTTTGAAAACAAAGCATTCAGGAGGAGGTGGCGGGGGTGTGTGTATGGGAGAAGTTCCTAAATTTAGCAAGAATGGAGAAAAAAAAACACCAACATTTTTCAACCAACAATGCTGTGATGTGGTTTAAAGCTCAAAATGGCAAAAACGTCTCTTTTCAATAAGACTCAAGCCTGAACGGCATATAACACAGAAAATGGCTGCATTCTAAAAAAAAAACATGGACTGTTGAGTTCACTAACAGCATTCGCACTAACAGCATACGCACTTTTGAAAACATAAGTTATAACAGCAGCGGTATCTAAATGGATTATCTAGCCCACAGTCAAGGACATGTTAGTTCACTTCGTTCATTTCAGTGCATTTTTCAATCATGGAACAGAGATGGTATTTGACATGCTTTAGTGCCTCGGAAATGAAGTGACATTGAGGGTCAAAACGTGGAGTAAAGAAACTTTCTCTGCAGCATTTTTTCCATTACAGACTGTATAAAGTTCCATCAACAACGTAACACACATGAGTCATCACTTCACTTCGACCAGACAGCGCACGCTTTTGAAATGTCTTGCTGGTAAATGTAATTTGCATAAAACAGATATTTCCGTTTTCAAATTTGTCAAAAGTTGTATACCTCTAGTTACAATCTTCAACATGTTATCAGCAGATCTGGCTTTTCAAAAAACTGCTTGGTAACGGGGTGTTTCTAAGTCTTTCAAATATGGCACTTATTGTTGTTTGCAAATTAACTAAATCAACTTGATCTTTTAGAGCCTACTTCATCCAACTTCTTTTCAAACATTTACATCTGGGTCTATTATTTTTGTTACTGTGAAATTGTGTTAATTCACCCAAACGGCAGGTATTTTGGCAGTGAAATCATCCACTTTGTGCTGAGATATTTTTTACAATGGCTCGCTTTGGGGTTTAGAATTCTCAGATATATATATTTTTTTCCTGCATTTGATTTTTAATGAACATACTGTATCTTCCTGAAATACCCCCAGGATCTCAATGGTGTTAGGTGGAAGCTAAAGTAATTAGCTGATGACATGGAGAAAGTCCCCACTGTAGAAATGACGATGATGAGGAGGAGGGTTGTGGCACGAGCTGAAGCCTTTGGCTGCAGTAGAGAACTTGTTTAAACAGAGACTGATTGGCCTTATATGTTTGTAACTGTATTGAATGAATATCAGCAGTGAAAGGACTGGGAAAAAACCTATTATCTTACTGAAATTATTTAGATATTCAAATGTATGCTTTCCAATTTGGAGCCAAGGAGAGTTGTGAATCTGTATGTTGTTGCTTTTGGGAACCCCTGTCTAAGTCAGCAGATTTTGCAGTAAAAAAAAAAAGGATTGGAAAGTGGTGCCAACTCTATAATGTGCCATCCTCGGTGCCTACCCCAAAGCCGCGGTTGTAAAATTGTGAGCAGGACTTGTGACTGCGGCCTGCGGTTCCCTTACAAACACTGCGCGAGTAAATAAACAGAGCGCTGACCTTTCTGTTGTGTTGCGGCCCGGGAGAGTGCGCCAGCTTTTCCCGTGACTCCAGAAACAGCCATAAAACAAGCCCCAAACACATGCTTTCAATTAGCAACATACTGATAAACAGGCTCTGAGGACCAGCCACTATCTACTCCTTTACACTTTTAATGGAAAAGAAAGAAGTATGATGGATGTGTTTAATGCAGAACTGTGGGACCCTCTGAGCGGTTGGCACACACCCAAACCCAAAGATAAACTATTAGGTGAAGTCAATTATGCAAAATCATATTTTTTTTGAGCTGCTATCCACGTTACAACATTGTTCCTTCATCAACGGCAGAGCTCGAGTGGTTTGCAGCTGCGTTCATGTGGTTTTGGGAAGTCAAAGTTACCCACGTAATACTCAGACTTCCCATAATCAGAGTCTGCTTCTGGAACACATGTGTTTCAACCACCACATCTTCAACTGAAAAAAAAATCTTTGTACGTCAATGAGCAGGCATAGACAACCCCATTGTTGTGATGGGAGATTTACAATGTAGAAAGCAAAACGGAAAAGGTCGGAGGCTGAATAAACTTAGAAATTCTTTATTGTGGAAGGGACATAGCGACGTGTTTCGACCACTCTCTGGAGTTCATCAAGGCAAGTGAGATTTACAAAGTTGTTTCTTCTAATGGAAATGGATGACTTATTCCAAGATGCTAAAATATCAATTCATCTAAATGTAAAGTTGATCCGTGTCTTGAATGAGCCAAATTTCCTGTCTGTGTATTATTTCTTTTAATGATAATATAGAGACTCGCTGAAGTCCAATAGGTAA